GACGTGACATGTTCGTACGAACCCTTTGTACGAACAAAAGTAAGAGAAATTTAGGATAAAAATACGAACATGTATCTTACATGGGGCCCGTTGTTTCCTCTCCTCCTGGTTTTAGATTATTGATCTAATTTTGTCCTGTTTTTCACAGAACACACAAAAACCTTTGCTCTTCCTCCAGATTGGAGCAGTAACAGCAACATCACAGAGTTGAAACACTTCGACAGCAAGTCAACAGAAGGAAGCGGCGCTGGTTTTACTTCCTGCCGTCGATACGTCATCAGAAACCCAGAAAAGGGAAGAACCTCTGCTGTCAGAACCTCCAGGAAGCAGAAGTAAAGCTGCAGTCTGAGTGAAGTGCTCTGTTAGTAAAATATGAACCAGTCTGATCTTTAATATRAGATGAGCCTGATTGTTGAGAGCTTTAGATATAATTGTGTTGCAGACAGATGATGTCATATTTTCCTKACACGTGTGCAGAAACAAGTTTACTAATTGTCCTGAAACACTGACAGCTGCTGTTCCTTCATGTCACATCTGACCTGTCAGGAACAGGTCGTAGTCTGGGCCTGACATCCTGTCCTTCAGCTGAGAGATGATAATCCCTCAGCAGCAATAATCCAACAAAGTTCCAGCTCCTCTTTCTATAAATCACACCTTGACTCAGAGCCGTTATCAGTATGAAGGAGAGGGAAGACGGAGGGAGGAACGGTTTCAGGCTGAGCACCCAGGAGGCACTTTGACAGGGACAGCTTTGTGTCGCTCTGCAGCGCAGTGCCAGTTTAACTGGGACACCTGACCAGTGTGTCCAGGGAGAACAGGACGGCCAGGTGAGCTCGTCTGGTGCGATATCAGAGGAAAGGCTCCGGGGCTGGAAGTGGCTTTCAGGCGGCTCAGACTAATACTCTGAATGGATCCTTTCTTCTTCAAAGACTGTTTTTTTTCCTCACGCAGACAGAAATACAGCCGCACATCTTTCAGCAGCATCCACTCAGCAGCTCTGCCTGTGTGACGACGGAGCACACATGTCAGGTAAACGTTGGGACGAACGTTTGTCAGGAGCCTCACGCTGCTGCCATGTTCTCACTGGTTCCTGTTGTTCACAGAGTGTCGAGTCAGCAAAAACACAACACAACAATTTATTACAAACTTCAATAATGCACTACAAAAATTGTACCTAACTGTACTGTAACTGTAATTTGACTCAAATTAAGTCAAACATTTCTGCAGTGGAGTAAGAACATTTTACTTGGTAAGATTCTTGAAATAAGAAAAAATTGAGTCAAATCAAGTATTTC